GGAGGTCGGGGCGCCGCCCGGACCCTGTAAGTTCCAGCTGCGCCAGCCAGGGAGGGAGGCTGGGAGGGAAGCTGTCTGCGCGGCGCCCGCCGGCGATTTCCACCGCGCGGCGGAGCAGAGCCTCACGAGTCTGGACCTGCTCCTCGGACGCGCTCCCTGTAACCCCGCCGCGGCTCTTGGGCTGTTGTCCGTGTTTTCTTGTATGTTCGATCTCTTTTCCAGCAAGAATTTTTCAATGCATCGTGCGTCCACGAAAAGGGGTTTTGTTTTTGGAGGAGGTGGGGGGGGTGTTTTTACATTGCACCTCGCACTTCCTGCACATTTAAAATAATTCTTCATAATTCTCAACACAGCGTTTTTACAGTGCATCTCGTACTTCCTTCAGATTTAAGATAATGCATAATTTTGAAGTTCCGTAGCATCTCGCTTTATTCTGTTTTGTCAGATTACACTTAACATGTCTTTCAAACAGCGCCAGAGGCCACAGCCTTTTCTTGGTCTCCTTCTAAAAATACCGAAGGAAGTATTTCCCTTTTTAAAAACTTTTAAAATTGCTGCATCATAGAATCACTTTGACAAGTAGATCTTGTTCCCGGCTCGCTTTAGTTTTTCATCGTGGATCCTGCGTGTCTGTATCATGGACTAAAATACAAATGCGGTTAATAGCAAAGGATCATCTTTGAGCCTCTGTTTACAAGAAAACTCTTATTTTTGACTCAGCCGAGTAATGAGAAAAAAATTAAAACTTGTTTGGATTCAGACCGAAAGTCCTCTGTGGGATCCCAGAACTTCAGCACGAGCTAGATTCATGTTTTAATAAAATAATACTTTTAGTGTCGCATGTCGCTTCGCATGTGTGAATACATCCGAACTACAGTGGCGAGGAAATGCAGGGGCTTTTTTTTTTTTTCTTGGTTTGTTCTTTAAGTTTTTAATCAAAGTTTCCCTTGTGCAGGAGGACAGGTCTGGAGGGAAGAAGAGGCAGGTGTGAGCAGGTCGGTAGCTGGCTATGGTGACGGGAAGATGTTGGCCCGAAAAAGCATCATTCCGGAGGAGTACGTGCTGGCGCGCATCGCCGCCGAGAACCTGCGCAAACCGCGCATCCGCGACCGCCTCCCCAGAGCGCGCTTCATCGCCAAGAGCGGCGCCTGCAACCTGGCGCACAAGAATATCCGCGAGCAGGGTCGCTTCCTGCAGGATATCTTCACCACCCTGGTGGACCTGAAGTGGCGCCACACGCTGGTCATCTTTACCATGTCCTTTCTCTGCAGCTGGCTGCTCTTTGCGATCATGTGGTGGTTGGTGGCTTTTGCCCATGGGGACATCTACGCTTACATGGAGAAAAGTGGCTTGGAGAAAAGTGCCTTAGAGTCCACTGTGTGTGTGACTAACGTCAGGTAAGAATGCGGTGAGGTGAGACAGGCTAGTCGCAAGCAGTATAGGAAAAAAAAAATGCCCATTCTCTTATTCGAGCTTTTAGCTAAAAGTGAAATAATGGGCTTATTTTAGATCTTCAGAATCAAAAGAAAAGCAAAATAAAGAAAACATCTAACACATTAAAAATCTTTATAAATGCAGCTTTGTAGATGAAGAATTTCTGAAAATGTGGAGCTTCAATTCTTTGGGCTGACTTTGAAAATATTAGATCAGCCATTTTCAAATTGTTTTACCTCAAAAGATTCCTTACTCTAAAAGCATATCTTTAATAATCAATATGAAAAAGCTGCTGCCCATCATTCAGTTGTCCACAGTCAACCAAAAATGTTGTGCAGTTGTGAATAGAATTTTTCCATGACTTCTTTCACCCGTGACATTTTTAGAAATAAGAAAAAGATGACGGCACTAGCACATTATCTTCACATAGCCGATTGCTTGATTGGATTAAAAAACTAAAAGTTATTTCAAGAATCGGAGCTAGAAAACATCCATGTTTAATGGAAATTGGCTCCAAATTATCGTGGAGAGCTACTGTGTAGGAGAAACTTACTGTTGCAGTCTTTCAAAGTTTTAATAGAATAAGAATGCGACAATTCTTAGATTGCTTTGATTTCTTATATAAATATTTCAAAGATAGGTAAAGTGCATTTGATGCCAATAGTTTGCCCCTCATCCTTTCACATGGCCTGAGAACATTTAGTTATTTAGTTGGAGTGATTTACTTCTAAATTTGTTTTATTGGAGATGGAAGGACATAATTTATATCAGTTGCAAACATTTTCACTTTGAAAAAACTGTAGTGATAATACTAGAAAAACTTCTAGGATGTTTTCTGAGTAAAAGTCCAAAATCATGTAATTTGCAAAGCAAAGAAACTTGAGCCAGCACCACTACTGCCAGGAAACTGTAAAGAATGAGTCTTCAAGGACATGAAATCTTAAGACACTAGCATACCACACTTCAAGGAGCCAGCTCAGGAGTGTGAATTTGCCGGCCCTTCCATTTGCTAAGTAAATGCAATGCTAGCATTTCGAGGAGGGGTGTAGCATTAGTGTTTGGAGACCTCGCACTACAGATTTGGGCTCAGATTTTAGTGGAAAAAAAGTGTATTGCTCTATTGCCTTTATCACTGAGTAGATATTATTTTCTTTTCTCAAACTTGTCACAAACTTCTGTCTCAAAGAAAATATAGGTGAAAAGCACAGATGATCAACAGTACACTAGATATAAAGGAAACAAAATCCTGGATTTAATGGGTATTTGACAGTCAAATATCATCCATAATACTGTATCTCTCCATAGGAAGCTTACTGACACTGATCTTTATGAATTATTTGCATATAGATATAAGCTTTGGTAAATATGTAGTTGATAATGATGAGAAGAGATAAATTATAATAATAAACCTTGAAAATAAATGACATTTTGCTTACAAAGCAAATATATTACCTTTTTCTATGTAAAAAAGCATTTCACAATTTTAGAAATATATATTATCAAAAGAAATATCCTTTCAGTGACTTTTAAAAGAATTTTACAGAATGCACTGGTTATTAAAGCTATTTCCTGCTACATCCTATTTTTCAAGTAAAATGTCCTGAAACATACTCATTTCCTGAATATATTCCTGCTGGTGTGAACTATGATAAATGACGTCAACATAACAATGTTAGTGTTTTGAACTGCACTTCTTAAAATTATAGGACATCATCTAAGGTGATTTCTATTCTTACTGATTTTAATGTTATGGTATAATTTATACTTTGACCTCGATGGTTTAATTATAACAAACTATATAGAAATGTTTCCAATAAAAGTATAGACATAGAAACACTTTTTTTCTCTCCTATGAAGAATTTAAAAGATAAGTAATAATAATTCTAATTGTTTGCATTTCTATTCCTTTCCTAAATTCAGTGTCTAGCCATATAGCAAAAGTTAGAAACAACTTTTTTTCAGTGGATATTCACCAGGATTTCCAGGCACCATTTGACCATTCTTTGAGGGTGACTCACTTTCTCCTTCATGCAGATGACTTTCTGAGTCAGAAAATAGGAAATAATTCCTCTTTGTCACTATTTATTCAATCTAGCTCTCTCTAGACAGAACAAAGGAACAGTTAAATGCTTTTATCTCTTGAGATTTTTTATCCTGATAGATAACGATAGATAATGATTAGGATTAAATGCTTTCATAAAAGAAATTGTATAAAGATATGGTCCATACTCTCATAAACTATTAAAACATTTGGAGATATTCATCATTAGATTGCTCCCTGAATTATGGACCATTATTAGAAATCGATACAGTACCCACGACTCTTCCCTTGCTGTTTGCCATATATTTAGACTACAGAATATATCTTGCAGCTATATTCTAATATAGCAATAAGAGAGGAAAAAGGGCAACTTCAGCACCCTAGTTAAAAGCCAATCAATGTCTGTGTATACTTGCTTGCCTTTCCTGACTCATGCTGAAGTGCCTCATGTACACTAAGGATTCAAATGTTCAAACATTTTACTTACTCGTTGCACCTGGCATTACTAGATAGATGATACTTTGACAGATGGCGCAGGAAGGCTTTGTCTTCTATAAAATTTGAGAAGGTTGAAGTTGGGTGGCAAAAACAGGGCTAATGCTGTTTCTAGGAAGGGGCCACTGCAGTACTGGATATGGAATTAGTGAATAAATTAATAATAACCAGATGTAGCCCTTCTCTACCAGGAGGTAAATCAGAATCACCTGAGAGCTTCTCTGAGTCTTACCCAGGTCCACCCTGAGCCTACTGAATCTGAGTACATGTTCTGAGACATGTAATTTGAAAAAGCTTCCCAAGAAAATCCTGACGCTTGTTGACCCCTTCCCTTTGCCTCTTTCAGGCCACAATTGAGAGGATTCAAGTTCCTATTAATATATGATCTTGACACAGATATTTACTAATCTCTGCCTTACATTTTTCCTTTAATTGTTCCAATTCTCCAGACTACTTAGAGAACAAAATGAGGTAATCAACAGTTTTCTTTCCGTAGAAAAATCTCTTTATTAAAAATACTAGTATTTTGGAATGACAAGTTTTAGCACTCTGCTTTCTCCATAAAAGGTATGCAATAAGTGTTAGCTAATGATTATGATTTTAAAAGTTCTAAAGAAATAACAGTTCACTAGTTCTTCAGCGTATAGGGCTCAAGACTCTTAAACCTGGATATGTAATACATAATAAAAATCTACCTGGTAGAAAGTCCTACAAAGTACAGTAATTTGTTGTGAAAGTAAAGTATTTCACAAAGTAAAATATGCCCATCAATGTAATTCATATTTACCATGTGTGTTTATCATATCCATCCCCTCACGCAACCCACTGCGACATAACCTAGACCACATTAATAAAATGTAGATGGATAGATGCATATGGACAAGGGGGAGAGAAAAAAAGGAAGGAGGATCATACTGGTTTTTCAAATCAGGCATTCACTAAGCTAAGCTGACTAGTCTTTCCCAAAACATTTACTGCCCACAGAAGAAGAAAATGAAAACCTCAGCTTGGAATACTGTTTCATTCGTCAAAACGTTGACTTGATGGCACTGTTTTCTATATCATTCCTTCCAGGTCTTTCACCTCTGCTTTTCTCTTCTCCATTGAGGTTCAAGTGACAATTGGATTTGGAGGGAGGATGATGACAGAGGAGTGCCCTCTGGCCATCACAGTGCTGATTCTCCAGAACATTGTGGGTCTGATCATCAATGCGGTCATGTTGGGCTGTATTTTCATGAAGACAGCTCAGGCTCACAGAAGGGCAGAGACTTTGATTTTCAGCCGCCATGCGGTGATCGCTGTCCGGAATGGCAAGCTGTGCTTCATGTTCCGAGTGGGTGACCTGAGGAAAAGCATGATCATCAGTGCCTCCGTGCGTATCCAGGTGGTCAAGAAGACAACTACCCCTGAAGGGGAGGTGGTGCCCATTCACCAGCTGGACATTCCGGTCGACAACCCAATCGAGAGTAATAATATTTTCCTGGTGGCCCCTCTGATCATCTGCCATGTGATTGACAAGCGCAGTCCCCTCTACGATATCTCGGCCACTGACCTCGCCAACCAAGACCTGGAGGTCATAGTTATTCTAGAAGGTGTGGTGGAAACTACGGGCATCACCACACAAGCTCGGACCTCCTACATCGCAGAGGAGATTCAGTGGGGCCACCGCTTTGTGTCCATTGTGACTGAAGAGGAAGGAGTGTATTCGGTGGATTACTCCAAATTTGGCAACACTGTGAAGGTGGCCGCTCCACGGTGCAGCGCCCGGGAGCTGGATGAGAAGCCTTCCATCCTCATTCAGACCCTCCAGAAGAGTGAACTGTCCCACCAGAATTCTCTGAGGAAGCGCAATTCCATGAGAAGAAACAATTCCATGAGGAGGAACAACTCCATCCGAAGGAACAACTCTTCCCTCATTGTGCCGAAGGTGCAGTTTATGACTCTAGAAGGAAATCAGGACACATTGGAATCATGACACCACGACGGCCCTCCTCTCCGCACACCTTTCATCAAGTGTGGGTGGCTGAGGCACGGAGCACCATCAGACTGAATCAGAGCTGGAGCACAACAATTTGTCTTATGTTTTAATGCACTAAAAGATATTCCTATTTGAGAAACAGCACTTAATAAACAATAAACCACAAAACGGGATTTGTGGCTTATGCTCATTTTATACATGCAGGATTTGCAGTGAAATGCTCAAGGCACGTATAGGAAGTAGTGTGTGCTCATTTCTCTCAATTTGAAACACACGAATTCCATTAATAATAATGCATAATCTGACCAAGGAATGGCCTCGTTTAAATGCTTAGTTGGTCTAAGATCTCCCTTGTTCCATTCTTCCCTCTAGAAAAGCAAAGGGCAGCGGGGGGGGGGGACCAAAATAATGTTAAACGCATTTTGTATATCAGCCTTCTTCTTTCTTCATAGTACCACACCTGGTAAGAAGCCCAAGGCAAATTTCTTAAGTGTACGTGTTTCAAAACAGACTCAGTTCAGTCCCTTGGTCCTTCCTAACGACTTCTGGAGGTCTCTGATCATCTGCATGGCAGCCTGTTAGGCAGAACTGGACGAGGGGTCTTTGGAGAAAAGTTGAGTCCTGTCTCATGTAGGACTGAGTTCCCCAGAGTGAGTCAGTTTCTTCAGCTGCCTGCTTCTCAAGGGGCCCCAAAGAAAAATGTTTTCTTCATACTCTGCAGTTTCGTGATTACTCTTTCACAGTGCCATCTCAAGTTAAGACTCAAAAAAAGATGTTTTTAGAGAAGGCATGGAATGAAGTGATGACCCTCTGAGATTCCTTTCTCAGATCTCTTGGTCCAACATAACTACCTTATTTGATTTTCTCTTGTTTCATTTTGAGATTTTTACTGGTCTGTTGCAGTGCTGGGGATCAAACCTAGGGCCTTGTGCATGCTAGACAAACTCTCTACCACTGACCAAACCTCACTCAGGTTTTAAAACATCCTCTTGGTTTTATTTTCTCAGGCTGATGTATCATGGAAATCTAGTAAGTTCTTTTTCTTTGAATTTTCCACTTCCTGTCTTTAAATTACACTTCTTCCAGGAATATATAAATTAAGACCTGGCTAAGAGAGGTCATCTCACTTGCTAGAATGAGATTTTCTGTCAAAGCTTGATTTAATCTCTCTTAGCTCCTGCTTCTTCAAGGAAAATATGAATAATAGAAGCCCTATGTTAATAGGTGATGTATAGTTTTTATTGTTGTATTTCATATAGCCTAATCTCAAAGTAGGGTTATGATGTAGCCCTTTACACGGATTTTGGGGCTTGTTTTTATTTCTTTTCATATATAAACACTGAACTAGGCATACAGCCACGAGTACGTCCAAATCCTGTTTTAGATGAGAGATGATTCTAACCAAATAAATGGCAATTGTTTATCAAGTTCCTGAGCTAATCATTTAAGTCAGATAGCAGATAACTGAAAAAGCTGTAACTTTGAGCTCCAAACTCTTAGATCAAATAGGTATTTGAAGCTCCAGTTGGATATCTGATAAGCATTTAAAAGTTATTGTTGAGCATATGGCTGTCATCCCAGCACTCGGGAGGCTGAGGCAGGAGGATCACTGTGAGTTCGAGACCAGCCTGGGCTACACAGTGAGTTCCAGGTCAGTCTCAACTACATAGTGAGGCCCTGTTTTTAAAAAAAGCAAAACAACAACAACAACAAAATAGAAGTTATTGTTGTGCCTGAAGCCCTGTGCTTCATTCACAAAGTCTTAGCCTTTCCCCGGTCTTCTGATCAGAATCACATTAATGCCTGTTGCGTGCCCTAAATGTCATCGAGTAGCAAATCTCCTGGAACTGGCATGACAATACAGTCAGAGCCTGCCTGAGTCTCTCTGACCCTTCCTCTACGGCCTGAGTGGTGGCAGCCGTTACCCAACATATATGGATGCAGCTATACCAGCTGTTAGAACAGTGAAACATTTATGGATTGCTAAAGAAAACCTTAGTAAGACTTAGCCCAACAGCTACTACAGAAGTATTAGATTTTTCAGCAGTTCTGGGACAGGCTTCTGCCTCCTGCTTTATGGCAGCTGAGCAGACCCAGAAGGAAGCTGTCTCTATAGCAATAAGATCATGCACAGTGCCTGCTTATCTGGAGCTCAGTAGTAGCCCAGATTTCAGGAAGATGACCAGGCCACAAGGAAGGTAATACTGGACACAGTGGGACTCGGGCGTAGCCTTTCTGAGCATCAAGGACAAAGGTAGCTGTGGAGCATGCACAGTTCCCCCCACCACACACACCAGCCGCATCCAAATGGCTAGGGCCAATGGCCTAATGACCATGTCCCCAGTGGGGAAGTCAACAGAAGAGTTTGACAGGCTCCCTATGTCATCATACTGCAGACAAGCACATCACCCGGCTAGTGCTGGCCATATCAAACAAGATCACATCAGTGACTCTTTTACTTACTGAATTTTAAATTTAATATTCAATATTAGGTTCTCAGCTTCCATTCCAGTCTTCACACAGCAGCCACAATATTATTTTGTCATAAATCACATCACATCCTATCTCTTTTTAAACCCTCCATGGCTTCCTGTTCCTCTCAAATGAAAAACTGAAATCCTTTCCAAGGCCCACAGTCATTACATCTTACTGTTACCATTGTTCCTCTCAATCCCATTGGCCTTTGTGTGCTTGAAAGAGAGACATACATCCTGCACAGAGGGTTTCTTCTCCCTGGGGTATTTTCCCCAGAAAGCCTCATGGGTCTCTCCTGTCACCATGGAAGTGACAGTGTCATCTTATGCAGAGATACAGTGTAATGTTAAGAAATTATACTTGGTATTTAAATTTAATTTCACAATTCAGCATCTCTGAGACCTTGAGAAATCAATTTCTTTGTGCCTCATTTGACATACAATCAAAATGATCATAGTACTATGTCATAAATTATTTTGAAGATTAAATGACTTACTGTATATAAAGGGCTTTGAAGGAGCTGAATTTGTTCTACCAGGACAAATATTTGAAATAAAGGACTGTTTCAAAGCAAATTGGATTCTTAATAAATGACTAATTCAAAATATTTGTCCTCTAGGACAGAGATAAAAGATCTTTGCAACATGAATCTGATCCCCTAAAAGCTCTTCAGCAGATTCATTTTATCTGTCCACTCTCAGTTACTTTTTCTGATTTCTATGACACCTGCAAACTTGCCTCTGTTCAAAAATATTGTCCTGTGTAAAATTCAACAACTGGTAAAGGAAAACATTTTACACACAGGAGATTTCTGGTTTTATGTGTCTGTTGTTTATTCACTTAGTGATTCGTGTGGAACATCTGCCATAAGTGACACAGATCATCTGGCAAAAATAACCAGTCATGTTTGTTTTCTTTAAAAAGGAGCAGGAATTGATAGCCAAGGGACATGCTAATTCTACTCCCAAGTAATCAGAGGTGAGAAAACTATCAAGTGAGGAAAACCGGACTATATACCAGAGTTGCAGAAGAGAAACTTTTATCCAAAAATAAAATCAAAATCTATCCCTAGTTCCTGAACAGGCAGGAGGAAACAAAGAAAGACACAGAACTATTGTACAACTGGCTTTGCTGAGAGCTGAGTAAGGACAGAGACAACTGCCATCCTTATAAATACCATCTTTCTCTGCTTTGCTCTACCCCAATCCTACAGTTCTAGTCTGTAATTCCTCATTGTTTGCCATTTACCTCAACATTCTCTGAGTGAAAATCCTGTTGCCATGCCCACAGATATTTCTAAACATCCCTGGACAAATGTTCTGACACATAAACTGTGTCTCAGAACTCACAGTGTCCCAGTGGCTTAAGGAATTGACCATAAGTTGCCAAAGAAAGTCCAACTCCTAGAGAGAAGTCAGTCGCAGCACTTTTTCCCTCCCATAGTTGGAGTCATGCTGTCGGTTTTTAATGATTTGGCATTCACAGAGCAAGAAGTTTCCTCTTTGATAATAAATCAATCACAGATAAAGAAGAAAGAATGAAAAGATATCTGCATCTCCCGGGGGTCCCACCCTCGACTTTTGTTATTTTCAGCATGTGGAAGGTAGAGGCAGAACTGAAATTTGTGTCTCCAAGGACCAGTGCATTAAAGTAACCACAACAAATCCTACAGGCTGTTCAAGAGGAAACTCAAGGGCCATGCTCTTCCCATGATCTTTATACACAATTCTCATCAATGGGAACGAGAATTTCCCCACAGACATAGGAAGGATGTGACTCCAATTACACCCCTTGATAATTTACTGCACAGATTCAAGTTCAAGTTCATGAAAACCTTAGTCAGCCTTTAACATCATATCAAAATATCACACTGGAGCCCAATTCATTTTAGATTGTTTACATCTTCATTTGGACTCTCTGTCAAAAGATGTCCCTGTTCTCATACAGATTTTCTTGGCTGGACCACATGACACCCTGCCCTCCACTCCAATACTCTCTCGGGTAGCTGAAATGAAATTATGGCATTGCATAGTTTATTTTAATTTCTTGAAAAAAAATGGAAAATTAAGGCTGAATTTCAACATACTCCTGGATTGCTTCAGTGTGTATCAACACTGATAAAAGTTATCTGTGAAACCAAAGTTAAAACACATTTCTCGATGAAACATTACAGGCTAGCAGATACTTCACAAGACTTCAATTATTTACCACTGACTGCTAGAAAATATCTACACTCTTTAAGAATAATAGTCCAAGTCTCTTGTTATTTGAATCCAACACATCTTTGTAGTTTCATTTTCTAACCCCAGCCCCAAAACCATACAATACTTAAATTCAATTGAATGTTTCACTTACACTGAATCTCTTTTTATAAGTCTAGAAGTTGCTGGAGTTGAAATTCTGAACCTTCTTTTACCAAAACGATGCTTTGAGAAAACCTCTTCAAATTGCCCGCCTTTATTTACTCCTTCATCCCCACAGTGAGTAAGTATCTCTGTATATTGGTGACTTTACATTTCCCCTCATAGATCACTTTCCTACAATAGAAAAGAGACAACAGAAGCCAGATAATCTGCCCCCCGCTTCTTCTTTTCTTTACAGCAAGAGTGTGCAAGGCAGGCATATGACCAAGCAGCTAGAGACTATTCATTCCTCAGCTAGATGTGGCCCTGTGCCTAATTTGGGGTTAATGCTATTGAGCAGAAGCCACTGGACCACTTCCAATTCCTGATTTGGAAAATTCTGAGCTTGTTTTCTCTACCTTTCTCTGCTTCCCACGGACTGAGAACATATGTGATATGTGATAGAGGTCCAGATTTAACTATGCTTAAATAAAGACAA